TAGTCTTCAAATCTGGGTACTGTCTTACGTTTTAAAATCACAAAGAGAGTTTGGTCCCATCAGGCTAACGTGACAGTCACGACTCATGCAGCTGTAAGCTTTTCTTTCTCTTTTGTTTTTACTCATGATCTTTACAACACGCATTACATTACGTATTTCATGGCACACTGGTTTTATGCGTATTTGGCGCCACCTATTGTTGTGGGTGTATTATTGACATGTCAAAGTCTAGACCCTGAATATAAGACGACCGCGTTTTTTCAGATGTATTTCCAAGAAAAAAACATCATCTTATATTCGGGTCAATACGGTACTACATCCACTTTATGTGCTTTACTGTGCAAAGAGAATGGCTTGTCTGTACTCCGTCAACTGTAATTGTGTGTTGCTTCATTGGTCAGTTACTGTAATTGGACAGTCCGCAAGTTCCTTCTCTCACTCTGTTTTTTGGGTTTGGAAACATGTATGCATGCATGCATGCATGCAGAGGAGCATGAATATTGAAATACCATGCTTATATTGTTGGAGAAAAACAGGCTCTCAGAACAGAGAGGGTTTAAAGGGGTTCTTAAACGGGTGGCTGCTGTTATGCAGTTCCTCTCAGAGAATGGACTTTTGTTCCATGGATAATCCATCTTCTCAGCAGGTTTAAACGGAACGTTCAAACGGAATAATTCTTCATGTACGGAGTTATAAATATATTTCACCCCTGACTTGGCACATGTGAACAAACTCAGATTTGTGGTACTTATGGGGAAGTATTTGGATGCTTTCTAAAATGTATACCAATATTTAGTCACATGGGAGATTCATTTTTTATTCAATGAGCAGATGAATCCAACACCCTGATCATATCCTCACAGGCTGTGAAAACATTAGTGTAGATTCTTCATGAAAACAGACTGAGGATATTAATGCTTGAACAGAGGATGAACTGTTTGACAGTTTGCATCAGCTTGATTTGAGAGATTTAACTATTGGATTTAAACTACTTGTTTAAGCATTTCGGCATATTTGATGTTTGGCAAGTTTGACACGGCTTTAGTCTTTACAGGAGAGGTTTTTTGATTGTACATTGACTTACCAGTTTATTGAATATGAATGTAATATAACAGGCTTAACGCAGCACTGCTTTCAGTTACTGTAGTTTCCTATCTGTCAGTCACTTTGACATTGGGTCGATGTACTGACTCCAAGGGTCGCATGTGAAGAAAATCAGAGGGAAAGAGGTGTGAGTCTTGATGATTTGAACAGAAGTTCTCACCAGCCCTGCGGTAGCGTTCTGTAAAGAGTTGCCTGATCTTGCTAGGATAAAGTGTGTAATAGGTCAAATGCTTATGATGGTCAGAATCAGAATGAGCTTTCTTCACCATTGGTTACACCTCTGCTTAAGGTTACAACCATGCAAACATTTCTTCACTTTGATTCTAATCTATGTTCTTCATTATAGTATTACCACATTGTGACAGAATCATAAGATGAATGTTTGTTTGTCTACTCAGCAACATGACGAATGCGTTAGCCAATGCCATCTGTGAGCGCTGTAAGGCCAGCTTCACACCGACGGAGAAGATGGTGAACTGTAATGGTGAGCTGTACCATGAGCAGTGCTTCGTCTGTGCGCAGTGCTTCCAGCAGTTCCTCGAGGGGCTCTTCTATGAGGTGAGACACGTACCCACTCAGATCTAAACCCAACAGTCCTGCATCGCCTGCCGGAGGGATCTCCAGCCCTGCTCCTCGAGAGCTTCAGTTCCAACACCTGACTGTCATTATCAATAACCTGAGCACACTGAGCACACTGCTTATGCTGGGTACACACCACAAGATAATCGGGCTGATTTTGGGCCGATTTCTCCCCTTCCGACAATCCTAGGTAATGTCCAATTATCTTGGTGGCTGTAAAGATTATCTTATCAGATTTTCCTTTGGTGTGAGGTGTGTTAAGAGGGACTGAATCTGCTCGGAAGAACGTCGGAGGCGCCCTGATCGCGAATCATAAATATTCAACATGGGGAACCCCGAGGACACCACACACTATTGGAGCAAAAGGTTAAATCTAGGATTTTTTTGTCCTCATGTTTGTCATCTCTCACATCGTGAAGATCTTATTAGATTTCTAAAATATTTTAGTGTGTACCCAGCATTAGCTGCTTCAGGAGTGGTTGTTTGGGGCTGAAGCTGAAATCTGCAGGATGGTGGTAGACCTACCCTGTTGAAAAAAATCAGCATATGCTGGTTATAAACTGGTTATGAGCTGGTTTAAGCTGGCCATGTGCTGGTCCTAAGCAAGCAGCTTTGATACTTTTGAATTCATTTGTTTATCGACTTTTTCAAATTCATTCATTCCATTTTACTTCTCTGAGATGGTCCAGCCCAGAAGCCTGAACACTGCATCAGTGTGAGCGAACACTTTATAGCAGCTAGTCACCTAACATGGGACATCAGTTGTCAACAAGTTCATTTGCAGATTTAGAACCATTTTTTGGCCTGTTTATAGTATCATATCAAGGACTGTACCACAATCTACAAGCAGCTAAGTTTGCTTAGTTTGAGCAAACCCTGGATTTTTGATACCACAAAGTTGGATAACATTTTAAAGGTATTCAATGCCACAACAAATGCTCCATGACTCACCTATTTAGTGAGATCTGGCCACAATGATTGATCCCTGTCTGACATTACATGATGTCATTAAGGAACAAGGTTTGTTAGTTATATGGATTTTATGCTTTGATTAAAGAAAGGAGAGAAAGAATGAAGAATGTTCTTAATAAATTACATATTAATAAGTCGTGACATTAAAATATTGTCTAAGACACGAGACTTTTATGATGGAGACATAAGCTGCTAATCTAAGACACATGTATCCTGCACTTGCTTTTGCAGTTTGAGGACAGAAAATACTGTGAGCATGACTTCCAGATGCTGTTTGCTCCATGCTGTCACCAGTGTGGTGAGTAGACAAACCTGATCAAGTGTACACTGATGAATCCTGGCGATGCCCAGTGTGAAAACACTTCACTCATCGTTCTATGGTAAAAATATCATTAACAGTGTTTAGGAACCATCGAGATCACCTAGTCGTCAGTTCAGATAGTGTCTCATTGTGTTGAATTTAATGGCTCTTATTCTAAAATGCTCAAATGTGACTGACACTAACCTGACTGAATACAATGAATTAAAAAAATTCAACTTTCATTCTTACAATGAACAGCCACAACATTAAAACCACCGACGGGTGAAGTGAATAACATTGTCACAATGGCACTTGTCAAGGGGTGGGATAGATTAGGCAGCAAAAGATAAAAAGGTATTTCACAAGTTCACCTGACCATCCAGTCTTAAGAGTTAACAGTAAAAGAACGTGACTTGCTGTCCTAAGCGGAGACTCAAGCGCCAGTTTAGAACCCCCTGTGATGGTACAACATGGAGCAGAATGAGAGAAATACAGGTGGAGATGGGGAGGTGGAGGGTTCGGGAGAATCGTTGCAGGGACTGCACATACATGACTGCTGCTTATACACGCTCGTGATGATGATTGACAGGACTGAATGATTAGGCTCCTCCTGAACCTACGTTTGGAACTTCATTTCTTTGTCAAGTCAGTAGAGTTCTGGCAGAAATTTACACTGGTCTGCAGCAATTGCTTATTTAATCCTGAAGACCGTGAGACTGAATTCAGCCATTATTGCAGCATCTGTGAGCATGTGCTCATGTGCTGTGTTTCCAGGCGAGTTCATCATTGGCCGTGTAATAAAGGCCATGAACAGCAGCTGGCACCCTCTGCTGCGATGCTGCGATCTGTGCCAGGCAGTACTCACTGATGTCGGCTTCGTGAAGAATGCAGGCAGGTCAGTCCAGCCGCTGCTGTACTTCAGCGCAAACAAGGACTTTGTGTGCTCCTTCCCTGTTAAAAAAAAACAGCATAACACAAAAACCAGTTAAGTATGTTCTGAAGCATGGCAGCTGGTCATGTGCTGGTCCTAAGTAATTAGTTCCAGCATAGGACCAGCTCATAACCAGCTTAAACCAGTTCATGACTGACTAATGACCAGCTCAAACCAGCTGCCATGCTTCAAAACATACCTAACCAGCATATGCTGTTTTTTTCAACAGGGTTGTACAACTTTCAGTCAAATCACATAGGGCCTCGTTCATAAAATGTTGCGCAGAAACCAAACTAAATTTGATCTTACGATCATCTCTCAAATATGCATACATGTGATTCATAAAATGAACGTATGCACAGAAAACACACGTATGCGTCTCTTTCAGATGAAAGAGTGAAATCTATGAATCGCAAATGATCTTGAACTTGCGCGCAACTGAATGGTTTCAGCTCTCTGCTTGTAAACGACTCCTAATTAATGTCATTAACATGTAAAAGATCACCAGTCATCATCCAAATTCTTTAATTTAGAACAGTGAGCTGCAAGAACATCTTACATTTCCAAAAACCTGCAGTACTCCAACAAGAAAAAGTGTGTACCTCTGCTCAGACCCTGACGTGACGCTAAGCACTTTTCCACGTCATTTGCATTCAAATTTGTGACATATGTGACCCTGGACCACAAAACCAGTCATATGGGTCAATTTTTAAAAATTGAGATTTATACATCATCTGAAAGCTGAATAAATAAGCTTTCCATTGATGTATGGTTTGTTAAGATATGACAATATTTGGCCGAGATACAACTATTTGAACATCTGGAATCTGAGGGAGCAAAAACATCTAAATATTGAGAAAATCATCTTTAAAGTTGTCCAAATTAAGTTCTTAGAAATGCATATTACTAATCAAACATTAAGTTTTGATATATTTACGGTAGGGAATTTACAAAATATCTTCAAGGAACATGATCTTTACTTAATATGCTAATGGTTTTTGGCATAAAAGAGAAATGTATAATTTTGACCCATACAATGTATTGTTGGCTATTGCTACAAATAT